TTTACCCTGAGTGGCCCACCCTCAAAAGTGACTCTTAAGCCAGGTGTAGTAGTACAAGCCTGAAATCCCAGCAGCTTGGGAGGCTGAGGTAGGAGAATAGCGAGTTTAAAGCCAGCTTCAGCAACTAAGCTAGGCCTTAAGTAACTCAGTGAGACCTTGTCTCTAAATATAATATAAAAAAGGGTTGGGGATATGGCTCAGTGGTTGAGTGCCCCTGACTTCAATCACCAGTACCCAAAAAAAAAAAAAAAAAAAAAAAGTGACTCTTAGAAAAGCCCTATCCGAACCATGAGATTGATGACCCGGAAGTCTTTTTGCAGGCCATGCCCCACAAACTTGACTCCAATGTCAATGAGAAAACGAAGCTTTAAGTAGGTAGACTTGAGAGTTGTGAGGTGTTTGGAGGAAATTTTGGCATCAAGGTCTCCTGGCTTTATCCCCGAGTACTGAGTCAAGTAATCCACTACCTAGGAAAATAGAAAAGGACAGATTACTCACATGTAAGGTGAAGTCTCCTACCACTTTTCCCTGGGTTCTCAAGCACTTTATATAAGCACCGCATCTGCCTCACTGGCACCTCATATGCTAATACCTGCTCCTGAGTAGAGATGTAGTCATCTATGAAGGGGATACCCTCATTGGGCCCTTGGCCCCGAACACAAGTGATCCTTGCTACTGACATCTGACTTGGTTTAATGGTAGACTTGGTACCATCACTGCGTAACTCTGCTTCTTCCTACGTGATAAGAGTTAAGAAAATCAGAGAGATGTTTACAATTCCTAGTATCCTTCGAGTTCTGTTCTAATACACCATATCCTTTTGGTCTTAGTTACCTCATTAAGGGTGACAAACTCAGCATCGAGGCCTACCAGGTCCCCAACCTGTGGCATTTCATTCAGCATCAGTGGAATAAAGGTAGTATGTGTTTTCCGTTGCTTCCGTGCCAATGAGGCTTCAGCCAACAGCACACTAGCCTCAATAGGGTTCTTGACTGGAAGAGAGAATGCAGAGGACAGAGAGCTGGGGATAAGGAACTGACTAGGGGAGAGAAGCCTACAATGTCAAATTAGAGATTCTGGTATGTATAGTGATCCCTTAGTAATCAAAGCATGAGTAAAAAGACTGTATTTGATAAACAGAGCCCGTAAACAGAATAGATCAAATCACAAAATTATCATGAAATATGCCAAGAAAAGAGACTGGGATGTAGTTTAAGGTAAAGTACTTGCCTAGCATGCATAAGGCCCTGGACTCAAAACTCCAGGGCTACACACAAAAGAAAAAAGAGACAGAGAGACTCCATGAAAAAATTATAAAAGGGACTGGCATTGTGGCTCAGTGGCAGAGCACTTGCCTTGCACATGTGAGGCACTGGGTTTGATCCTCAGCACCACATAAAAATAAATAACCAAAATAAAGATAAAAAAAAATCTAGAGAAAAAAAGAATAAGATTGTTAATTTGTACCTTAGAAAATCCAGAAAAATAAGGCTACAGAGAAACTATGATTTAAAGGTACCAAACAGGGACTTAATGAACTCAACTCTAAAAGAAGAGAGATTCATAACATAAAACCATTTTTATCAAACTTCCCCTCACCCTCTCCCATTCCACCCTCTGGATTTCCAGCTTCTAAGTTTAATATCTGATAAACAGAATCTCTGTAGTATCCCTGGAAATAGCAGTGGTTTCCAATCTTGTATACTAACAAGCTATTTCCCAGATGTCTTTCTGAAGCCCAATTTAAGCTGCCCACACCCAAGATCTACTTCTGTACCACTTACTATTCAGGTTGTATCTAGAATTGAGATTCCTTTTGATATAATAAAGGATAGCAGGTACTTTCCAATTCATGTCAAATTGCACTGCTTCATACTAGAGAAGAGAAAAAGAGGTTGTGGATATAATTCAATGGTAAAGTGCTCGCCTAGCATGTGCAAGGCCCTGGGTTCAATCCCTAGCAGAAAAGAAGGAAGAAAGAGAAAAAGAAGGAAAGAGGAAAAGGTAGGGAGGGAGGGAAGAAAGGAGCAAAGAAGGAAAAGTAAAAAAAATACTTATGGCCTATGTATTCATATGTCCCTTTTTTTTTTCTTCTTCCCCAAGTCAGAGGCCAAGACTCTAGTGATGTTTTTAATTTAGCTAACACCTGTTATTCCTGAATATTCCTTCCTCCCTCTTGAATATGCCTGGCATTCTACAGGACCTTGAGAATGAGAATGCTAGGAAAGGGGAGATGAAAAGGGAATAGAACATGTTGCAACTCACCTTATCAATAGGTTCAATAAGGAAGTCATTGAAGAGATACCACTGCTGATGAGTAACACCCTGTGTAGAATCAGAGAAAGGCTGAGGACAAATTATGGCTTGACCACTGTGTCAGAAGCTCAAGGACAGATCTGGGTCTCTACTATGGTCATCCCCAGGAGTGACCTTGCTCTATACCATCTCACTTACCTCCTTGCGCTGGTGGTAGGTCTCTCCAACTTTGATGTGAGCCACCAGGCTGCCCCCTGTGCGTGAGTCCAGGATGTGTACCACAGTAGCCATCAGGTCATACACATAGACACCATGTTCCTCCTCTGCCCTGGCTGGACCCCACTGTGAGGAAGGTACCCAGGCTGCTAAGCTAAGTTTAAGGATAGGTGTAGGGGGAGTGGGGCTAGAGGACAGGAGTTGGGTGAATAGGGAATGGGGGACCAGGGTGCATTATGTCCATTCTAGCCCATCTATGACTCATAGCACTGAACTGAAAATCCCACAGCTGATAAATACTAGGCCTTATTCCTTTCCTTCTCCTCTACTAAGTTCCACCTTGCCCCTGTCCTACTTCACCTTCTATCCCACCTTTTCTCCCTCAGTCCCTCTCTTCTTCCCAATTTTTCCAACAACCTGCACTTCAGTCCAATTGCAAACATCCAGCCCTTTGTTCTTGGTCATCTTCATGCGAATGGAAAAAGGAAGCCAGACATTCTTCAACTCTTCAATGGAGGGACACAACAGCACACCCTCTGGACTCCCTAGTTCCTTCCTATCAGGACAGAAGAATTAGAAATGTACTCTGAAGAGAGCTAGTCAGTGATAAGAGTTACTATGGGTAGTTTAATCTGTTTTTTTTTTTTTCTTATAGTAGTAGGGATTGAACCTAGGGCTTCACACATGCTTCACAAATGTTCTACTACTGAGCTACATCCTCAATCCTTTTAAAAAATTTTTGAGACACTCTCTTGCTAAGTTGCCCAGGCTGGCCTTGAACCTACAATCCTCCTGCCCCAGCTTCCCAAATGGCATGTGCCACCATGCCCAGCTAGTTCAATCCTTTGACAACTCCTAAGACAGAACCTACCGATCAGCCAAAGAAAATTCCTTGTTCTTGGAGATTTCCCCACCATGTTTCTTTACTGCCATCTTGAAGGCAACCTGAACACAAAGGATAAAACATCTGATTCTTCAAGAACATGATCACACAGAAAGGAAGAAAAATATAAAGTACTCCTAAAGGCCCTGTTTCCAGCCTCAGTCCTTACCTCAGCCTGCATTCTCCAGAAATCAGCCTCTTTTGAGCTGTTCACTTCACAGTTAATAACAAGAATATCTGGCAGATGGCGGATATTGCGGGTCTGAATCTGAGAAAACAAAACAAACAAGAAATAGCACGGAAGCTGAGGGTGGTGGCACACACCTGTAATCCCAGAAGTTCAGGAGGCTAAGGCAGGAGGATTGCGAGTTCAAAGACAGCCTCAACAAGAGCAAAGCAACTCATTAAGACCCTGTCTTTAAATAAAATACAAAATAGGGCTGGGGATGTGGCTCGGTGGTCAAGTGCCCAAATTCAATCCCAGGACCAAAAAAAAAGAAAAGAAAAGAAAGAAATAGCAGGGAATCTACAGGGTAAGAAACCTGTACAGGAACAGAAGGCCTATAGCCTCAAATTTGGTTTCTTCCCACCCCCTATATATATATATATATATATATATATCCCTAGATTGTAGTGCCAACATAGTCAGGTCCAAGTGGGACCTGGCCAAGTCTCCAACATGGTTGGACTCCATCCAGTTCAGGGTAATACCCACTCACCGTGGGCTGGTACTTCTCACAGTTGTCACACCAGGCTTGTGTATTCTGCTCCAGGCAGATGCTTCGCTTCAGCACCTGAGCAAAGTCATAGTTCTTCCCGGTTTTATCTGAGAGGAAACTGGATACGTCACTCCAGGTTCTCCCTTCCACCCATAATTAATCCACCCCCCACCAAGGTTACACCTAGGGGAGGCTTCCCAACCCAGCTGCAGGGTATACCACAGTTGCTACCCTCAGGGTAGGAGAGTGTGAAAAGCAGAGTGGATGAAGCTCGCACAGTCTCACTGCCACAGCGACAAAGGCTGCAGTTCTCCATCTCACAACTGAACAGTTGCCCAATGACAGAGTCCCCCGATGAACAAAAACTGCTAAGAGTGGGGAAGGCAACATATACATACTGAGGAAGTAAGGAGACCCTTTAAGTCCCAGAAGGGCCTATCATGTTTCTTTAACTATTCCCAACCAATTCTATACCTGCTTCCAGCACCTCGATATGCCTGGGGTACTTCAAGCTCCTGCATATCCTGATGCAGTTGAGTGAGAATGAAGCGATTCCATCTCTGAATGAGCCTAGCCAGATTGCCCTTGCCTGAAGCCTCATCTGAGTCAGCTAGGATCAGACCAAGGGCTGAGGCCTCAGGAATGGTCCGGAATGCCCGAAGAAAATTACTGCCCTGGAAAGGGGTATGTGGATGGAAAGGGGTTATTTTCTCTTTTGTGGCCATTTGTTTTACTACATCCGCATAACTTTTTAAAAATTAACTTATTTATTTTAATTGGGTATGTATGACAGCAGAATGCATTTTGATTCACTGTACACAGTTGTAGCACAACTTTTTATTTCAGTGGTTGTACACAATGTAGCATCAAACCATATGTGCAATCATACACATACCTAGGGTAATCATGTCCATCTCATTCTACCAACTTTCCTGCCCCCATGCACGCTCCCCTACCTTTGCCCAATCACAGTTCTTCCATTTTCCCCATACCTCTCCCCCTTCTCCTTCCATTTTAAGTGTCCCAGATATCCAGGCACTGACCTGGCAAGGATCACCACGAGAGAGGTCCAACATATGGAAGAGGAAGCCCAATTCACATGCCAGACAGAACTCCTTCTGGCAGAGATGGTTCTGAATTAGACAGCGAACAGGCTCCAGGAAATAGAGCACCTAGAGGGAAGAGAAGAGGTGAGGGTATCTGGAGGAGATGAGAGATGGAGAGGTTAAGTAAGCTGGTGGAGAATACAAAGTAGAATTCCATTAAAGCTGTGGAGCTCACAGTGGAGATTTGAAGATGTGTGGGCAAAAAAGAATACTAGATGAGTTTAAGGTACAGTGAGCTTGATTGAGGACACTTGGGAAGAGTAGAGTAGGAGTTGAGGGGCAACAAAAATGGAAGAAAAAAAGCAGTAGGCACGTTCCAGTTATACAATACCCAGTCCTTACCTGAATCATGCAGTTACAGTAGGCATTGGGGATGTGAGGCTCTAATCCAGCAAAAAGGGTCTTATTATAGTGTTTGAAGTCAAAGTCTTCAAGCCCTAGCTTGGAATATTTGATGGTTACCTATGGTAAAAACAGTCTAAGCAGGATGAGTCTTTAGAGTCCCCAAATCTTCCCAGTAGCCATAGCCTTTCCTTAAAACCTCCCTCCTGGGTCCAGAGTAGTAGGTGAAAGCTTCTTGACAGAATCCTTTCATCTTTTCTCATAAACACTTCCCAGGGCACCTTTCCCCATAAGCCACAGAAGTCCTGCCTTGGGGCCCTCCAGCACCTTGCGGTATTTCTTTGAAACCATGTGGAGATGTGGCTCCTCTTCCCGTCCTATCGGTGACTCAGTGACCTGGCTGAAGCTATCAAATTCACTATCCAACTCCTTAAGTCGGTAAGGAATCTAGGGTTTTAAAAAAAAGGTTAACTCTGTTGGATGTCTGTCTTTTCTTTTTTCTTTCCTTTTTCTAGTACTAGGGATCACATCCAGGGCCTCATGTTTGTCAGCCAACCATTCAACCACTGAGCCACATTTCTAGCCCTAGTTGGATATCTTAATCATCTTTGGTTTCCACCTCTCTTTTATACCAACACTGAAACAGCCACCATGTTCTGAGCCTTCTATTTTCATGAAAAATAGAAACAGTATTCACTGTTTCCTTTTTATTTCTACTGCCATATCAGCTGGACAACTGTGGTGGCTTCCCCACTGGTCTCCCTATATCCACTCATTCAGTTACCAAACTAACCCTCACAGAATGCTGCTTTCAAAGTGAATCGCTTCTTTTTTTTTTCTTTGATTGGGGATTGAACCCAGAGACACTCCACCACTGAGCTACACCCCCAGACCCTTTTTAAATTTTTATTGAGACAGGGTCTCACTAAGTTACTGAGGCTGGCCTCAAATCTGCCTCAACCTCCGAAGTAGCTAGGATTATAGGAAAGTGCCACCATGCCTAGCTCACTTCTTCTACTACACACTCGTGTTAAAAGCTTAACAGCTTGGCCCTAATTTTTCTCTCTCACTACTTTCCAGTACTAACTGCTGTTCTAGCCAGACTGGTGTACTCTTAGTTCCTCAGAACAGGCTTTTGCATTAATTCCTCTTGAGACTTCCAATAACACTGTTCTTCATCTTGAATATTCTCCTTCATTACCATTAACTTATCCATATCCCATATTTGCAGTTCAAAATCCACCTCTTTCATTATGCCACCCTTTACCACTCTAGTCTAGAGTAACACTTCTCTTCTAAATAGCCCTAGTACTAAATGTTTATAATGTTCCTTTGGAATTTAACGATAGGACATAACTAATTTCTGATGTAGACTGGGGATGTAGCTCAGTGGTGGAGTGCTTACCTAACATGCACAAAGACCCTAGGTTCAATCCCCAGCATCACCAAAAAATATGAATAATAATAATAATAACTTCTGACATGACTAATGTCTTACCTTCAACCAAATACTAAACTTCCTAAGAACAAGGACATCTTCTACATCTTTGAATCCTCTCTAACATAGTTCCTTCTATTCAGCAAGTCCCCAAATGCCCTAACCAATTGTTTTTAAAAACAAAAAAGACTAATAAAGGAAAAAGATAAGAATAACACCAGTTGGCTAGTTGTGGGATTATTTCCCCTCTGAACACACCTGATTACGAAGTCTGGTGCGGGGGTTGGGTGCATAGCCAATGAAGCCCACTTTCTTCATGGTGCGTAGAATCTCTGCATCGACAGGTGGGGCTCGCCTATAATTCAGTATGATTCTAAGGCTTGAAGAGTCATAGTATCTATACATCCACTCCCTAATGCCCAAGGGGGGGGGGTGCAGGAAATACTAAAGATAGACAGAAATTAGCAAAATGGTATAAAAATAACAAGGCTAGCAGAAAATTCTATCTTGGCCTTTTCCCCTTCCCTCCTTTTGGCCCAGAGGTGAGATATAACCTGGGAGCTGGAGCAGAGTTGGCAGCAGGCCAATCAGAGAGGAGTGTGTCCGTTGTGAGTGGAACAGGGATGAGGGAAAGAGGCAGCAGGTCCTGGCTCCAGTCCAGAGGAGGTAATGAGTCCACCAGACAGGGCAAAGCAAATTCAGTCTCCCGTGAATAGGGGTTGAAGGAAGGCTCTGGGGAATCAGTCCAGAGGTGCACACAGCCCTCAGAATCCCCAAAGGCAAGTGCCTGCTTGCTGGCTGACACATCAAATGTCATTAGCAGAGGTCCCACAGGATTCACATGAAAGATGTCTGCTGGGTTGGCCAGGCCTGTTGGCTCACAAAACTGGCATTGCCCTAAGAGGGAGAAAGAAGCCCACTGATTCCTGAAAAGTGAAAAGGAGACTTCCTTTTTTACCTTCTCTATCCTCTTCTCCTGATATCAAGACAAGACAGATCCTAAATTCACATCTATAGTCAGAATGACGATGCCTTCCCATGAACTACAAGATGGTTTGCTACCCAGAAAAGAGCACTTCTCAAATTATTTTGCCTATTCTATCTTTATCTTTTTCTGTGTTCCTCATACCCAAGGAGAAAATAAAAGCTTTCACCTCTAACAAAGCCTAAGTAAAACCCTGGGACCTGATGAAAAGTTATTTTCCCCCCAACAAAATGGTGTCTAGGAGAATATTCCTTCTGGTGCCTTCTTCTCCTTTGCTCATTGACCTCTCCTACCCAATCCCCTTCATACCTGACTGAGAGATGATAGCAAGACGAGAAGTATATGTAGGGATGAAGCGCAAGAAGGCAGGATCCACATGTACTTGAAGTGGTGTGATGGCACGCATCATGCGCAGATCATACACCTTGAGGAAACGGTCACAGGCCAGGCCAGTGAGGCGGCTAGAAAAGCCACAGGCAGCCAACAGGTTGCCATGCACGTCAAAATCTGACAGACTCCCTGAGAAGGCATCAAATTCATGCTCCACCTTAAAACTACGGAGGTCTCGCAGGGAAACCTAAAGAAGAAATAACTGTTATCTGCTAACTCTGTCCCTGCCACCTACCTAAACTTGTGAGGTCCCTACCAAGGAACTAAGGCTCTAGGATATGAAGAATTAAAAACAAGAAAAAGGCAGGGTATAGTGGAGCATTCCTGTA